AGTGTGGTGACACTTGAGTGAACACGCGGATGCTTTGTTATAGAACAAAACATTGGAGACCCGCTGGGAGATTCCACATGGATAACTATATAACGAGACACGGATATCATTATCACGGATAGACCATCGCGTGTGGCATTCTTACTTGTGAAGTAAGTAGCTGATCTCACAAGCTAAAGTGTGGTGACACTTGAATGAACACGTGGATGTTTTGTTATAACATTGGAGACCCGCTGGGAGATTCCACATGGATAACTATCTGAGTGTTAGTGGTTAATCTCTAACGTTCGGTAGTGAAATTGGTCATTTGACTTGAGGTCATCATGGTTACTTATATGAGGACAGTCATACTTTGGTGGTTTTGGATATTACTCTGTCAAGGGTCGCTAATACAGCACGTTCGAGTATGTCAAGAATCATATGAAGGTTGTGAATGATCAATAGAGAATTCGTCACTCTTAGATAGTAAGAGAATGTGATCTAATTTTATCCAGTTAAATTGATAATGAAATCCTTGGCCAAGGTGAACTCATAAGTCAAAAGGAGTTTTCGATTACATTGACTAACCAGTGGGATAAAAGATATGATCGATAATTGAGATTGACTCATATCCATATCTCATAATTGATNTTGAGCATATATTAATATGATATTAGGGTTTGAAAACTGTAGAGATTTTATTATTCTTGCTACCACAAGAAAAGAAACCCTAGTCATCATTCTTATTCTCTGTGTGGATCACCATTGGAGGCTGGACAATTGGACAGCTTGGATTGCAGATCGTGATCATTGGAGTTCGTGAATCAGCAAATGAGTTTGTAGAATTCATCAAATGTATAATTCTCATCACAGTTTTTATCTAAACACATTGCAGATCCTTGGTGGGAATTGAAAAATTGTTTTATTTTCGCTGTGCATGATTAAGTAAATTCCCAATAGTGGTATCAGAGCCTACTTTGTGTTTGTCAGAAATTGTTTTGCTTGATTAAACAATTAAAAGTTGACTGTTTATATTTCTTTCTTGAATCTAGCAATGTATAAAATTGTTTTTCATCTTCAAAAATATGTTTTTGAAAAAGGAAGATAATTTTTCGTCAAAAAAAATGAAATCGGGCGCGAATAGGGTCGGCGCCGGCAGCACCGACGCCGGACCCAGCAGAGCGCAACACTGTCGCGTGTTGCTGCGGGCAAAAGCAGCGGCGGGAATGCCGCTGCGTTTTGCAGCGACGATTGTCGCTGCTGCGTTTTGCAGCGGCAGCGTTCGCGCTGCGGCTACAGCGCGAAAGCTGCTTCACAACAGGTGTCGCCGCTGTGCGACAGCGGCGACGACCAATCGCGTTCCACTTATGCGGCGCCGGCAATTATAAAAAAAATGTGATTTTTGAGGTTTCAGTCGGGTTGAGGGGTGTTGGAAGCGGGGGCCTCTGATGCAATTTCTGAAATTGTAGGCCCCCCGCCTGCAATTAATATTCAGGGGCCAGTTTTGCAATTTT